AACCTTGAGTAAAAGCCAGGACAGGCCAGGAAGTTTGGCCTCCTCCATCGGTGGGAAAGTCCAAGCCTCCTGCTCACTCTGTGACCACAGCCATTTTTGTTGAGATTTATTTATCTTTTTTAATTGAAACTTTGTGGTCTTGAGCGGAGGACTGGGTCGGGCAGGGTGTGCAGGAAGCTTGGCTTCCTCCATTGCCGGGGAAACCCAAACCTCCAATTTGCTTTGTGGCCACAGCCATCTTGGTTGGGTTAATTTGCATACTAGCTTCTGATTGGCTGGTATTCGTGGCTTGTGGGTATAGAGCCATTGTCAATTTTATTAGATGGAACTGAAAGCCCTGGGTAATAAAACTTACAGGACATCCTTCTCTCTAGATATTCCCAATGCAAAAACGCTCATCAGGAATACCCTGTCTGTTTTCATTCACAACAGTGCTCCAAATTTCAAAGTCAGGCTTTGATGCTCATATTCTAAAGCTCTTCATAAAAATTACTGTAGTGGTAACAAAAGAGCTAAATAACTTAGCAAAAATTAAGCCTGTTAGTTTCCATACATTTTATGACATAAAAGGCATTTCTGCCTCAGCTAAAAATCTAAAATACTTCATATTCAGAAATGAGGAGTCCACTGCATCTCTTCTAAATGAGAAAATCATATATCTATCTATCTATCTATCTATCTATCTATCTATCTATCATCTATCTATCTATCTCTCACCTAAGTATCTACCTACCTACCTACCTCCCTCCCTATATAAAGAGCCAGGGTCCACAATGACCAAAATGTCTAAATGGATAACTGAACATTGGAAGTCAGTCCTGCAGTCAGCGCTGGGTTGCAGCAGTGACTCATCACTGACTTCCACCACTGCAGGCGTGGTGACCCAGCACTGACTGCTGTGGGGGCTGTAGATAAGACCCAAAGAGAGGCCCTGAGAGAGAAGTAGGGTCTGATCCATAGCCTACATGGCAGCTGTTAATCAGCCCTTGCCTCTCTTTCTCTCTGGGTCTCTGTGGGAGCTGCTGATCAGCCCCACCTTTCTGATCGGGCCCAGAGATAGGCCCAGAGATGCTGACTGGTATAGAAATTGACCAATTAGAACCAAATCAGGGTGAATTGCAAGGAGCAAATGGTTGCCTAGGAGGCAGAGCTTTTGATGCTGATTGACATACAAATTGACCAATCAGAACCAAATCTGGGTGAACTGCAAAGGCAGAACTTAAGATAGGGGCTGAGGAGGGGTTTTAAGGGCAATAGTTGTTTGGTGTAAGGTGTTAGATATGAAGTTCAATTTTTTAATGACTGGTTTGGCAATATAGTGTATATGGCTGCTATCAGTCCAGATATTGGAATTATGTATTTTTGTCTGCCAAGAGCATATCCTCTTGCCGAAACCCCCCTCCCATTTAAGCAATCTTATCCTATAATTTATCTATACTAATAAAAAGATAATATGCTAATTATACCAGGTTGACCAGATGTCTGACTTCCTTCCAGACAAAGCCATGGTGGTGGGGGCTGAGGCAGAGGCAGTTAGGGGCAATCAGGCTGGCAGAGGAGGGTAGTTGGAGGTGAGATAAGGCTGGCAGCGGAGGACAATTGGGGGAGAGATCAGGCCAGCAGGGGAGGGCAGGTAGGGGCAATCAGGCAGGCAGGCAAAGAGATTAGGGGCAATAAGGCAGGCATGCAGAAGCAGATAGGGGTGATCAGGCAGGCAGGCATGTGAGTAGTTAAGAGCCAATGGTCCCAGATTGTGAGAGGAATGTCAGATTGGAGAGTGTGAAGGCTGGGCTGAGGGAACCACTCCAACACCCACCCCCTGTGCATGAATTTCATGCACCAGGCCACTAGTATTAATAATAATGATATAAGGGAAACCAAGAAGGCAATGCAAAGATGTAAACCTTCTTAGAGAGTGAACATGCTATGAGGATGAACAGAATCCCCACATCCTATTTGTCCCAGGAGAAAATGACCTGAACTGTATGTGAACTGACTTGGATTTTGAGAACACAGACAGAAAAACCAGTGTGTGAGTCAGTGTTGTATAGCTGCAATACTGGGTGTGTTAACATTTCTACTCTATAGATAATGCTGATGATGGTATACATGGTTACCTAGAGCAGAGTATTACCATAGAGAAAGCACAACAATGTTCTTCCGAAAACACAAAGCCCCTTCATCAGAAACTGCCCTTGATCACTATCAGTGGCTTTGTGAGAACTTGAGATTCTTTCCAAATATGCACCTAAAATAATATTACACAAATCTCATGTAATTTATTCATTGCTCCCCCTTCAACACTTAAAGAACTATCTGACTTCAAGAGAAGTGAAATATTAAATAAAAATTACCCTTTTAATGACCTACAAGTGGTCAATTAGGCATGTGTTGAAATACTTCAAATCAATTTAATGCACAAATATAACTGATAAATTGTTATGAAGTACTTTATAAATTCAAATTGTCAAATAAATGGTCTATAATCAGCATCACCATCATTATAAAAATACTCTAACAGGCACAAAGTGAGCATAGTGGATGTCTAACATTTTGTCCCCAGGACTGAGGAAAGAAAATACTATTACATAAAACTGAAATAATGAGAACTAAGTACCAGCAAGCTTGCTATTATATAAAATAATAAATGTTCAGTAAGGACCCAAACCAAAAACAAAATAAAACATAAAATTTAAAACCATTTAAGGAGATTGAGTGAAATTTACTTTATTTGATGAGACAAATGCATAATTTTGACCAATAATTCCAGGTAGATGATAGTCAACAGATGGTTTTAATTTTTTTCTTTAAATGTGCACAGCCTGAAAAAATGAATAATTTACTTTCTGGCCTGCTTTAGAAGCCTAACTAACTCATTACTACAGAATAAAAGCACTCTGAAGAATAAGCAAAAGCATTGCCATGAACTGACTTGTATTTAGTTTGCTATAAATCCACCAATTTATATCCAAAGAAAAACATCAATTTGGATATAAACAAATTAGGACTGCCAAATAATTTTAACCACAATGTGCCCAATAATAATGGTAATACATGGGCTTTGAACATTTCCATTTTTGTTTTCAAATTAATAATGCAAACAAGACTCCAACCTCCTGATATAGCTTAGCATAGTATAAGTTAGTAGCATGTTCGATTAAGGCAGTGTTTCCCAAACTTTTGACATATATGTACCCCTTCTATAATTTTCGTAATGCTGAGTATCCCTTGTACTCATGAGAATGTAGAATTAAGCACAGCTAAGCATGGTGCAGTGCATATCCACACCAAACTCCGGTGCAACGTGTACCCCCACCAAACTCTTCCCGTACCCCTGGGGGTACGCGTACCACACTTTGGGAAACACTGGATTAAGGGATTCAAAATCATCCAAGAGCTCCTATTTTTCCAAGAGCAATGGAATCAACTTTGCATGTAGTAATGAAAATAAGGTCACACAATTACTGTGGTTGCAGAAATATCACTATTATGCTTGTGTCTACCTTTTGGCTATTTCCACTAGAGGCCATTTTATTTGAAAAACAAAGCAATCAACTTTTTGAGAATTTCCTCTTATTTCAAACTCGAGAACTGGCACACGAGTTCATGCAAGGGTGGGGTGCAGCTGGCCTGCCCAATTGGGGCCAATTAGGGACAGGCTGAATGGGGGGGGAGGAGCCATGGGAGGTTGGATGACCAGCCCCAACCCTGATTGGGATGGGGGAGGCTAAAAGGCAGTGGGGCCAGCCAGTGGGAGGAGCCACAGGCAGCCACTCCTGGTCAAACTCTTCGTAGAGGGGACAATTTGCATATTAGCCTTTTATTATATAGGATTGGAAATCTTAAACCATGGTAATGTTTTAAACTATTTTCTGGGAATTAACAATACCTATGATGTTCAGCTAAAATGACTGTTCTCTGCCCTTCCTACTCTCCTGAACTGTAAGGTTGATGAGATGGTAGGCCTAGCTAAAAACTTTCAATGCTTGTTAGACCTGATTACTGATGAAATAAGGATGAAGAGATTAGCAGAAATTCTATGACCTTCCAAACTTTTTAGTCCAATGGTAATACAAGCATGTTAAAAAATCTAAAATATAGACCAGGAAAGCTAACATAACTTTATTATTCATATCTAGTCTTACTGTGTTTTTTTTTTTCATAACTATTTTGAAATTGAGTGTTGTGAAACTAAAAAACAAACAATAAAAAAAAAAACACTCAGTATTTTAAATCACAAAAAGATGTGAAAACCTTGGCTATCAAATTCATTTCAATTCTTTCTCATTGAAAATATATCATCTAGAAAACAGTCTCCTATTTGATCAAGGTTTCTTTACAAAGTACATTATTCTGTGAATTATATGTATAATTGTAAGTAAAAGGTAGCTATAAAGAACAGTTTAAACACCAACAAACAAGCCCGAATTCTGTTTATTATACAGGGGAGGGCAAAAATAGGTTTATCTTTGTGAATATGCAAAACAGTTTATTGTTGTATTATTTTTTTATTAATTATTGTATTATTTATTTGTATTACAAGTATAAACCTATTTTGGCCTATATATTTGGGGAGAAAGTCATCTCTATTTAGTATTTTAAGGACAAATTAAACAACTATGGAAGAAACCAAAGTAAGGGCATTATTCACATTAAAACATGTAATTCTATCCTCCTAATTACCAAGTTTCATAATAACCAAGACCTCAAATACCAATCTTAGTGACTCATATTAATTTAATTGTGACATTAGCTTTTATAATCATAGATGTAAAAAACCCACTGTGTTCCAAACATAATTATCACTCCAGCATCTCATTTCATGAAATTATTAAATTAAAATGAGAGCCTCTGTACAAATTTGTATTTGATTAGTTTCACTTACTTGAGAACACTGAATAATTTAAGAGCTGTTTAAGTAAAAGGAACACAGAAAAGACACTTCTGAGACGTGCTGGATGGGTCCTAAATTCTCCAGAACGGTTACAAAGCAGGCTTACCTTCCAGGTGAAGCCACAGCAACCGCCCCTTCACCCTCATGACAGAGGCCACACAGAGCTCTCCTGGATTCCTGGGGTTTACGGCTTCAAGCTTCATGTTCTTTGTGAAACCCCGGCTGAATGATGTCTGAAAGAGAGAAATGAGACTGAGCCATTGGTACCAGCGTGCAGCAACAAAGCTGGCCAACTGAGGAAGCAGACATGCGCACACAGGCACACGCGCATGCACAGATCTTATCTATACAACCAGCAGTCTGTTACCGTGCTTGTCTTTCCCGCCACACATGAAGAAAGAACCATGCCTTCTTCATTTGTATCCTAGAAATCAGAGCTCTGCTTCGCACACAGCAGGTGCCTAATAACATGTGTTGAATGAATGAGAGTATGAATACAACCACAATGGAGATACAGAGCGATGCCTTCACCTCCAAAACCCCTCGCACTGGCCTTTCGGTAATCATCGCCTCCCAGGCTCCCGATCCTTGGACCACCAATCTGTTTTCTGCTCCTCTAATTCCACCTTTTCCATGATGTCATATAAGTGAAATCATATACTATGTAGCCTTTGAATCTGTCTTCTTTCACTAAGCAAACAGCACTTGAGCATCTTTCACGCTATTGCACGAACCAGTAATTTATTCTGTGCTACTGCTGAGTAGTTTATGTAGATGTACCACAGTTTGTCCATCATTTATCAGTTGCGAGACATTTGAGTGGTTTACAATTCTTGGTGTTTGTGAGTAAAGCCACTCCAAACATTTAAGCACATGCTGTTGTGGGAACATTAATATATTAGTCGGCTCTAGCTGCCATAAAATACCACAGACCTGGTAGCTTAAATAACAGAAATCTATTTTCTCACAGTTCTGGAGACTGCAAGTCTGAGAACAGAGTGTCAGTGGAGTTGTTTTTTTTTTTTTTTTTGAGGTCCATCTCCTCGGCATGCAAATGGTAGTCTTCTCCCTGTGTCTCCAAATGTTCTTTCCTCCAAGCTTGTGGTGTGTGCTCTTATTATCAGGACGCTGGTTGTATTGGGTTAAGGCCCACCATATGACCTAATTTTACCTTAATTACCTCTTTAAAGACTCTAACTCCAAATACAGTCACATTCTGAGATCCTGAGGTTAGGACTTTAAAGCTTGTATTTTGGAGGGACATAATGCAGCCTATAACACTGTTTTCATTTCTCTAAAAACAGGATTGCTGGACCATATGGTAAATCTATAATAATAAAAGTATAATATGCTAATTAGATTGAACAGCCAGACAACCTTCCAGACGAAGCCAGGGCCACGAGGGCTGAGCCTCTTGCATGAATTTCATGCATAGGGCCTCCAGTGTGTATATATTTCTAAAAAACTGCTCTATTATTTTCTAAAATATCATCTTGCATTCCCATCAGTAGTGTATACAGTTTTAGTTGCTAAACATCCTCCCAACTGATACTGCCAGTTTTTCAAATTTTAGCCATTCTTATAGGTAAATCTAGTGGCATCTCATTATGATTTTAACTTGCATTTTCCCTATGACTAATGACATTGAGTAGTTTTCACTTTTGTCATTAGTATATCTTCTTTGTTGAAGTGTATTATTATTTTTTAAAATATATTGTTTATTGACTTCAGAGAGGAAGAGAGAAGGAGAGAGAGAAACATCAATGATGAGAATCACCAATCAGCTGCATGCCCCCTACTGGGGATGAAGCCCGCAACCCGGGCATGTGCCCTTGAGCAGAACAGAACTCTTCAGTCAGCAGGCCAATGCTCTACCCACTGAGCCAAACCGGTTAGGGCGAAGTGTATTATTTTTACCTTCATTCTTACTGGATATAGAATAGTAATTCCATAATTGTATATTTTTACTGGATATAGAATTATAATTTTTTTTCTTATAGCACTCTAAAGAAATTGGTTCACACTCTTTTGGCCTCTGTTGTTTCTGATAAAAAGCTTGTTATTATTCATACTGTATTCCTCTATTTGAAGTGTATTATTTTTCTCTGGACACTTCCAAGAGTTTTCTCTCTATGTTTATTGGTTATCAGCAATTTGACTATGCAGAGTTTCTTTGTATTTATGCTGCTTGGAGCTCACTGAGATTCCTGAACCTGAAAATGTAGATCTTTCAGCTGCTTTGGATAATTAGGAATCATTATTTCTTCATATATTTTTTCTTTCCACTTTTGTGTCCACTTCTGGGTCTCCAGTTACACATGAGATTGGCCCTCAGATCCTTAAGATTCTTTTCTTTTCTTTTTTTAAATATATTTTTATTGATTTTGTACAGAAACGAAGGGAGAGAGATAGAGAGTTAGAAACATCGATGAGAGAGAGAGTCATCGATCAGCTGCCTCTTGCACCCCCTACCAGGGATATGCCCGCAACCAAGGTACATGCCCTTGACCAGAATCGAACCCGGGACCTTTCAGTCCCCAAGCCAACGCTCTAGCCATTGAGCCAAACCGGTTTCGGCCTTAAGATTCTTTTCATCTTCCTCTCAACCCCATACCAACTTTTTTCTTTGTTCTTCAGATAGAATAATTTCTGTCTTCAATATCATAAACTCTTTCCTTGCTCATATCTGTCCTGCTATTAAGCCCTTTCAATGAATTTGCTTATTTCAGATATTGCATTTGTCAGTTTTAGAATTTCCCTTTTTTATACATCTACTTCTATTCTGGCACTTCCTATCTTTTCATTCATTAGAAGAATATTTACTTTAACATCAATGCTTCTAAAACTTTAGAGGATATCAAAATCATTTGGAAAGCCTTTAAAAACACAGGACTGCTGGGCCTCATCCCAAATTTAATGATTCAGTTTGAGTAAGATAATTTGTATTTCCAACAAGGTGATTCTGAGGGAGCTGGCCTTCGGGCCACACTTTTGGATCCAGTGCTTTTCACCACTGAGCTTAGTTATAATAGGGACTTTAAAATACTTTAATGCTACCAACATCGGGGTCATTTGGATTTGGTCTCTGTTCATTGTCTTTTCTACTGTGAATGAGTCAGATTTTCCTATTTCTTCATGTGTTGAGGAACTTTGGATTGAAATCTGGATGTTTTAAATGTTATGTCATAGACACCCTGGGTTGTGACATATTACTCCCAAGACGGCTGATTTTTCTGGTATAGCAAGCAATTAACTTGGTTGGTCTCAAACTACACACTTGTCTCTTGAGAAGCAGCTCAGATCTTAATTCAGTTCTTTCATCCTTAACTACTAGGCTGCTTGGAGTTTTCCTGACAAATACTTGGTTCCAGAATCTGTGGTTCCTCCTCCTGGCTCTCCCCTGTTTGTGATTCTTCTTACTTTCCAGTAGCTTGTGGTTTCCTAAATTCTGTTATTGTGTTCATACGGCCAGAAAGATTACAAATCTTATAATCACTGCTTTAGTCATATCATATGTTGTCAACTGTGGCTGACCTCAGGCCACTCATCTGAAAATTTGGGGATGATCACCCCACGGTCTTCTTTTTATTAAACACCTGCCTACCCACCCCCAGTATCTGCCTGCTTTTGTTCCTGTTCCACATCCTTCAGTAGCTGTTTTCATCCTGCCCAGTGTTTAGTTGCTATCTGTAAGAAGATGGATTCAGTATTGAGCTTAGCCATTACATTCACTTTTAAATAAGTATGATACAAAAATTTCCAGTCACCCACTTCTATAAATTTTAACCAGATATTACCATATTATATAAATATATATGTTTTGAAATCTATAAACTGAGATAAACAAGTTTCTGCCGGTAACAGATTACATCTTTGTTACGATGGAAGGAAACAAAGGTAATTCACATTTACATGTCTTTTTATATAAGCTAAGTTGAAATGAAAGTCTATCTCTATGTAAACAGAACAAAATTATCCAATGTATGTTAAGAGACCAGTTTGCTCTTTTCCTTTATATTTCCTTGGAAATAGGAATCAAAGCTACTCTATGTGGGCTATTTTCCTACAAATCATCCTAAGTTATCCACACATATTGTGTATTGAGCTTCTTTCTGGTAATACAATTTGATAGACTGGCTGCCTGTAAAGTCTCTAAGTAAGTTAAAATGCCATTTATTCTACTTAATAAGGGAAAGCTACAACCACATAACCTCAATTTGAGGGTAATTTATAAAGGATCAATGGCAAAACCGTTATCTGTGAGTTTATTTTACAAAGCATTTGGCTGTGTCAATCCATTTTAGAACTGCCTGTGATTGTTAAACATCCTCAGGGAAATGTCATCCATGTATCCACTTCTAAACTACCTCTCCTCTGGTATACACAAGATGTATGATTAAAAAATGAACTCATAATAAGCATCCCACTAAAGATCACTGCAAAGTACCAGTAATGCAGCCCATACGTCAACAGGCAGATAACAATTCTGTCGATTAAATAAACGAGGAGCCTGAAAAAAAGGGACATATTTGTAACAAGCACAACCCTAATAAATAAACCAATGCATTTACTAGAAAAGATTTAATCTGGGTAGCTAAATCCTAAAAGCTCAGAGGCCACCTGGGGATGTGGTTACTTGCTCCGCTATTAAAATGCATTTGGACAACAGCTGGCTGAATGGGAGCAGAGGAAAGATAAAAAGAAGCCTTGGTGTCACCGAAGAAACTCCTCCTTAAATACAGGACCAGGGGAGACAGGAGGGTTTCCTTCCCAAAGCTGAAGAATCAAGGAAGGGATTTTTATTATTTTCAAGTAGAAAGCACAAAGTAAAGGGGTTTCAGGATATGATGAAGTGTTTCCAGGATCCTAAACGAAAGGCCAGAAGGCCAGAAGTTTTTGTCACAAGGGATGTCAACATGGTAAAAAGGTCAATAAAACTGCATTGGACTTCGTAAGCCTTGAGTGCTAACGAGCTGCTATCCTCGTGGTGGCATGATCACACAGCTAGCTGCCCCCTTCAAACCACCTAAACACTCACCAGGCAGTTCTTTCAACTACAGAACTGCCTTTGTGCAAAGGCTGTGTCATCCAAGTGCAAGTCCATTTAATCATTTACAAAGCTTTGGTTTCTACTCTGCCACTGATTTGTTTCTGTATTTAGGAATACAAGTTGACCCAGTAATCAACCTACTTAATTCTCCAAAATCCGTTTTTGACTAATGCTCAGTATTGAGTTTCTCTCTACTAAGTCAACCCTTTCCTCCTCTCAGTTCTCGTATTCTGTTACCCTGCAAAACAAACTATAGGTGGGGCGGCAATGGTTCAGCAGCAATAGAAGCACATGTCTAGAAAACAAGTCTGTGATTCGGGAGCACTCTGCACTTAGTATCTGCAGTCCTCAGCTGGAGGACTGTCTTTTCTCAGCACACAGAATTAGCTTCATCATGAAATATGTGTTCAATGCACTAAGCTATATATTGATGCCTCATTCTTAAATCAGAGATACTAATCTACGTCTCTTTTCATAGTTCCCCAGGGCTGAGGAAATATAAATGAATAATTTATAAACTACTCAATACAACCAATTCTGATAACAAAGCAAATACATACATGTATGAGTGAGTGCACACACACACACACACACACACACACACACAGCTTTTTTATTTGTCACAAAAATCCTATTACTATGCCAATAAGTTCTATTTGAACAAGGTAGGGGCTTAAAGTAAGCAAGCAAAGTACAAACTTGTTGGACTAGCATCCTAGAAAAATAATCCAAGGGAGAAAAAAAAGATCATATTTTAAGAATATTTCTCAAGTACAGAGAATCTGTATTTATTGATGAGCTTATCAATATTATACTCCATAGTCACTAATAGCTATGCATACAAAGTGCACAGCTATTGGTAGCATAGGTGGCTGGCTGTTCACCAGTTTGTCCTCTCTCTTCTACAGTATAGAGTCACGGCTGAGGAACTAGCCAGGGCATCTCCTAGCCTCATTCATGGTGCAGATGAGGACTGGTTCTCACTGAGAGAAAGGGAACAGAGTAGCGTGTGTCAGTAATGGCTGCATTGCTTAGAACTAGGGCTGTCTTCTCTTTCTATCTGCTCACCACATCCAGGGACTGAGACCAAAACATATCTAGCTCAAGGCTCACCACAATGAGAAGAATCACCCAGAAAACCAATACATCCTGGACCCTTCCCTCAGCGAGAACTAAATGGTTAAGCCACTGCTCATTCAGTAATCAATTTGTTACTATCTCCCAGAATTACTCTAATAGACAAGCTAAAAAGAGGACTTCTCAAAAACTATGAAAGTTTTGGTGTTCCATGGAACATAGCAGCACTCTACACTTGCTCAATAAATACTAAACAATTGATGGCACTTATGGTGAGCAACATCTGTGGTAAAAGAAGTAGCAAGAAACGAGCGTCTTACATTTTTGAAGCAGAAAGGAGGTGCTTCTTCCGTTCCATGCTGCTTGTGGTAATCAGCCCAGTCAAAGTCCTGGCCAGAGTAACCTGCGCGGGACAGAACAAGGCAACATTAATCAGGCTAACCACCAACAATGAACAGCTTCACAGTGCCTTCACATAATTAAAATAATGAGGGGTGCAAGGTTAGGCACCCCAAAGGTGAAGTCTTTTCTTAAGCCTCACAGCACATCAGATTTCAGGAGGGTCAAATGAGATATTTTGAAAAATGTGAAGTACTACATACAGGTTAGGGTGCACCATTATTTCCAGAATGTGGTGCCCAAAACCAGGTAAAGACAAGGTGGAATTGACCACATCAGTGCATAGCAATGGGTAGATCTGTTCTGAAGAATAGATAATATTGAGGGAGGGGATTGAGAAACATCTATTCATATATGCTAAATTTAATGAGATTCAGATCTTACCAAAGTGGTTTTTTCTTTCTTTATTCATTTGATTTTTTTTTTTTGTGGGGGGGTACACTTATAAAATATATATATCCATCATACCCACCCAAGACATGGGAGAGGAAAACAGTTCAAAATTATAAAATAAGAACAACACTGAGTGTATGGCTTAAGCTAGATGGGAAAATACATCTTAAGGTGTGAGTATTTGCATTTCTGAGAAAAAAGGACTGACAGGAATGAAAAATACAGTAGTAATCAGGATTCATTGAAACTGTACAAAATGTCACTACACTCTTCATTTAGTGTTCTCCCTTTAATAGTTTAAGTGTATGTAAAATACATTTAAGTGTATTTATACCTGAAAATTCACTTAACATGGGGACTTTAGTTCCTAAATCCCATAGTTGCAGAGTAACGACATAAATTTTTTACTAAAGAAACTCAAGATAACATTTGCCTCCTACCTCCATCTGTACTCACAAGTACAAAATAATGTTCTTTTTATTAAGTAAGCACAATTTACCCAATTTTTCCTAAGATGGAGGGATTAACCTTCTCTGGCCCAGAGACTGACCCTTGACCCCCCATGAGCTGCTCCCCATCGGTGGCAGAGGTACCCACTTCCTTGTAAGATATCCCTCTCATTCTATGAAGACTGACAAGTCCTCACTTCCTTCCCATAAGGAGATAAGTTTTGAAGTGCTATGTACTCTTTCTAGCTGGTTCTGAATGGGGCCAGCAACATCTTCCGGCTGCTCTGCCCCTCCAGCCAGAGGCTCCAGCAGCAGCAGAAGTTTCTGGGAGGGATCAACCCAACTTTCTTCCGAATATTCATAAGCAAAACAAAACGTGTGTTAAACAAGGCAATGCAATTTCCTGTGCAATTACTACAACCCGCCACTTGAAGAGCAGTAGTCTGTCTGGAACGGTTTTGGGTTAAATACTCAAATTAATGTATAAGAAAAGGAGAATCCCAACTGGTGAGAAGTTACCTAACAGTACGAAGGGTACTGAAACCAGAAGGAAGACTGATTTTAGATCCAGTTCTCCAAGAACTAGATGGACCAATGTGAAAGTAAATTAAACCTTGTATGCAACAGACTTTCTCTACTACTTCACAAAATAAAGAGACAATCTTATAAAGCCTCCTCTAGCTGCTGCATTCCATGACTCAGAACCACCACCACTGATAGTTCACTGTTGCTGCTTAGGGTTTTTTTCTTTTCCTCTGTGCTTACTGTCCTTGTCTTCTCCCAGGAGAAACGTGTGGCAGGGCTGACAAATGAGATTACGTGACAAGACGTTCCCTAGATGAGCTCTCAATTGAACAGCTGACGACAAGATGACCCCCTGCAACAGGACCCGATTTTTCCTATGGTTGGGCCAGCCGACTCTGTTACAAAGTCAAGGTATCTGTTCCATCTCTTCCCTACACTTCTGCTGCTTCCTTACTTAATTTTGTGAATGAGGAAGACTCATCAAGATCACAGGTGAAGAGAAAAATTAGAGGGAAACAAATATAAATAGTACATTATGTTCTGAGATAACATGAAATTTAGGTATTTTAAAAAATATATTTTTAGCCAAAACCAGTTTGGCTCAGTTGATAGAGCATCGGCCTGCGGACTAAAGGGTCCCTGGTTCGATTCCGGTCAAGGGCTTGTACCTTGGTTGTGAGCACATTCCCAGTAGGGGTTGTGCAGGAGGCAGCTGATCAATGTTTCTCTTTCATCGATATTTCTAACTCTATCCCTCTCCCTTCCTCTCTGAAATCAATTATATATAATTGATTTTTTACAGAGTTGAAGGAAGAGGGAGAGAAAGATAAAAACATCAATGATGAGAAAGAATCACTAATCAGCCGCCTCCTGCAGGCCACACACTGGGGATCAAGCCCACAACCTGGGTATGTGCCCTGACTGGGAATCAAACCATATATATTGGTTCTTAAGTCGATGCTCAACCACTGAGCCATGCCAGTTGGGTGAAATGTAGGTATTCTTTATGGTCAATATCTGTTCAGATAAAATTTTCAACTCAGAAATTGCCTCTATTTCTACATACAGACATTTAGCAGGGTTCTCTAGTATTCAGTACCTAATTGCCAACTCCAGTGGACTTCAACCCCCTCCATAAAATGCTCTGCTCAGTTGTTTCTTGGACCAACATTCATCCTCTATATCCAGTCTTCACGATTCTATGGGAGCCATTTTTAATCTAATAATCTCAAGGGATAACCAAGTCTTGTTGAGTATGTAAGCAACACTAGAACTCTCTCCTTTCCCTGAACATTTGAACAGCCAATACTCCTCCTCCTCCTCCTCCTCCTCCTCCTCCTCCTCCTCCTCCTCCTCCTCCTCCTCCTCCTTGTCTTAGGGACCTTTATTCACTTCATCACTTAAAATTCTTTTCCTTTGAGTTGATAGGGTTGATAATGAGGTCTCTTTGTAAGGCAGTTTTGTGACAGTTCAGAAAATAACTGCTACATAAAAACAAATTGCTATGGCTTGTATAATAGAGACAACAGGGGTCAATTATACCCATTAATCAACAAAGACAGAACAAGAAGTACTAGGGCTTAACTGCAGCCAGGAAAACATGTTTTAAAGCCAGAGAGAGGGAATAGCAGAGGGGAAAAGAAAATGAAGGCAAATCAAAACCCCTTAGGCTATTATAATTTGCAGCTAGCTGCCATAGGAGACTGTTGAACCACAACCACTAGAGTTATTTCAGCTTTTATTAGTGTTTATTCTGAATGAAGTTCCAACTGTTACAGATCCAAAAGGGAACAGGTCGATGACCCATTTCCATATGACACAAATTAATTGACATAAAGCAGCTCCACTTGCAAACATTGCTATTGGCAGTGCAAGTAGACAATTGTTTTAAAAAACGGTTTGGCAGTAAAAATGTTCATGGACTTTGACACAATTTCATTTCTAGGAACTTATCCCATAAAAACAAACCTAGAAATACAAAAAGAATGCTATATGTTAAGATATAATGGCACTATTATTGATAATACTAGCTGGGGGTGAGTGGAAGGGGGATGGGGAGAGCTTTGTATCCAAATATAGAAAATGTTTTGAAACTTATCCAAGTCCATGACAAGTGATGCAGATATAAAACTGCACAGTCAGTTTTTTTTAAAAGGTCATGATAAATGATTGCTATGGTTTTATTTTATTTTTTATTACATATATTTTTATTGACTTCAGAGAGGAAGGGAGAGGAGATTGAGCCTGAAACCCAGGCGTGCACCCTTGATCAGAATTGAACCCAGGACCCTTCCATTCATAGGCCGACGCTCTATCCACTGAACCAAACCGGCTAGGACAATGGTAGGCAAACTCATTAGTCAACAGAGCCAAATATCAACAGTACAATGACTGGAATTTCTTTTGAGAGCCAAATTTTTTAAATTTAAACTATATAGGTAGGTACATTGTTATTAACTTAATTAGGGTACTCCTAAGCTGGTCTTTGCTAAAAATTCAAGGGACTTGTGTGGCTCGCGAGCTGCAGTTTGCTGACCTATATACCCAATGCAATTGTGATTGATATTAAAGAGGGCAGCCAAACAGACCACCTCAAAATGCAGGACTGAGGAAGGGAAGAGTGTGACCAGCTGAGGGCACAGTGAGTGCCAATGTCTTATGGAGGGGATGTGCCTGCCCCTGGTCCAGGAAGGGCAAGGAGGCTGGAGTGAGGGAGTGGACTGGGGAGCCTCTTCAGAGATGCGGCATTGTAGGCTGTTGCCATGACCAGAACTTGGCCACTGCGTGAGGTCTGAGCAGACAGAGGAGGAACAAGTGTGCTTTACAGTTGACTACGGTGTTGAGAGTAAACTGAGGAAAGCAGGAGGCCACTGCAAGAAACCCAGGTGAGATTTAAAGGAGCCCTGAACCCAGGAGGTGGTGATGAGGCGTGATCAGATCCCAAAAATGTCAACAGGATTCACAATGGATCAGACATGGAGCACCAGAACTAGAGAGGCCAGCATGCCTCAGTTCTCTGTCATATCTGTAATGTTTTATTTCACTTTTAAAAAATCAGAATCAAATATGGCAAAACGTCACATCTCAGTCATGGTGGCAGGTCCATGAGAGTGGGTTCATTTTCTGTCCTTTTGGTATGTGGCAAATATCACAGATTACAAAATGGGCTGCGTTCATCAGTCAGTGTCCAGGAAAAGAGAATACCAGCAAGGGTTCACTACTCTGTGTCCCGATAATAATTAAAATACACCCTTACTTCCTAAATTTAAGATGGCTAGCTAGTAGACATGAAGTGTTAAAATAAGCGATTTTCTTCAGCCTTCACTTAGACGTTTTACAACAGAAATGAAAGGCTAAACATTTTCTACAAAGATCCCCAAGTGGGATGAGAGAACAAGTCATTCTACCGCTAGTCTTTGATGTTCCCCGCCATGGAGGTTAGTAAAATCATTTCGAAATAGCAAATCATGGTTGATACTCTATACGCATTTTTGCTTAGATGATTTATTATCTTGTTTGATCACTTTTAATGCCTATAAAATTGAATTCTTCACTGGGTTTAAAGGGATGGGGTAAAACCTCCAGGCTCTGTCCCTGGCTTTATAGAAAAGCATTTGCTCACGCACAGAGAGTCTGA